AAGCCAATGATATGCTCAACACCACGTGTATACATCACTTTTCGAGAGGCCTGATAGTTTCGGAAAAGCGAATTAAAAAAAACATAAAAAAAATAAAGCAGTCGTTATTTGTTCATTTTTCCCCTGCTAAAGTTTCAATTTTTTTTTATAAAAAAAAAATAAAAAATCTGGAGTTATCATTTAATTTTTCAAAAACTAGCAGTCCTATTAAAAAGTGATGTGTATCAGGTGTATGGAGAATTTCATTGGCTTTCATTTGCCGTATTTCGTAAGACATACATACGTGATTAAGTGGAAATACCCCTTTTTTAAACAAATTGCAAATATCTCGAAAACGTATCCATAGAAAAAAAATTAGCACGATTTTCTTAATCACCGAGCAATTCTGCATAGGAATTGGATAGTGACATCTGGAGAACAAAGACTAAACTGAAAATCGTGTTCCAGTGTTATTTAAATATTTCGTATTATTTTGGACCTATAGAATTTTCGGCGCCTCTTGTGAAATGAAAAAATTTGCCGTTTTTGAAAAATCGCTTTTTTAATTAGATTTTTTTTTTAGTAAATTTACATACACACATATATATGCGTATATGCATCTTTATCATCATTTTTTGAATTGTAAGAATTAATGTGAATTAATATAAAACAAATTTGAAAAGATGGAGTTGTATTATTTTTAATCATATCTTTAATTTTCTGGAATTTTATGGGAGAATAATTCTTCATGTTAAGGTAGCAGACCTGACCTTATCAACCACACAGCATTGACAACGTTTCAAGCCGCCAAAGCAAATTAAAGTGAGCAAAGCGTGCAAAGCAAGCCCGCATCGGGCCGGCGACTTAATATATGTACATATGTACTTTGCTGACTATTCTACGTGTGTATGCCAAAAAACCTTTTGGGTGCTTGACTTTTCATTTTTTTTTTTTTTAAATAACTGAAAGGGTTATGAACACTTTCTTGAATATCCCATAAATTTGAAAAAGTGTTATAAAACGAACCACCACACCCACTACTCTTCATACACTCTAAAAACTCTTAGTATATACATAAATATGTACCTAAGTGCTACGTGTAATTGCGTCAATTAAACTAAATGAGAGTACATTTATTGTATGTAATATTCAGCCATTCACACCCGCCCACACTTGGCATCGATCGCCTGCGCCACTCTTAAAAGCGATTCATTGTAATTACTTAAAAGTAGAAAATGTCCAATATTCGTACGCCTTATAGACCAATTCAAAATGCTGCTATATACATCAATACATTCATACATACATAGTTACTACTTACCTTTCTCGGTTGAAATTCATATTTCACACAATGCTGGAAACCTTTGCCTTTGACTTTCATCGATGTAAGCACCAGACAATTGCCAACAAAATGAGCTGTATAGCCGACGCCTTTCGATGTTTTAAAACTGAAAATACGAAAATAGCGAGAGAGATTGAAACAAAAATTGCTATGCCATAACAGAGNAATAGCGAGAGAGATTGAAACAAAAATTGCTATGCCATAACAGAGGAAGTGAGTAAAAAAAAATAGAAAATGGAAGCCACTTCTGAAATTTGAGCTGTATGAATGAAGTGAAGAAGAAAATCGAACAAATTAGTTTGAAGGAGGCATTGAAGTAGCAAAGAAGGAGAGCCAAAAAAAAAACAAGAATATGGAATGGGTATGCTGCTGTTAAGCTGACCAAGCGGAGAAGCATTAATGAATTGCAAATTGCAGCAATATTTCAAATTAATTCAATCAAATGGTTGACTATTAAGATGAAATGGAGGCATAAACGAAAAAGCGTGAAACAAATGAAATGCCAATAAAATGAATTCTGGGGGTAGAATGCTGGGTAAGGCAAGCATAGAAAATTGAGTGATGGAAAGAATATGTATATGTAGGTAGAGCGTAAAAAGTAAGGCGGTAGCCTAGAAGTTGGCTAAGTATAAACTTAAACGCAACATGACTGTAGCTGTTATTGTTGTATTGAAACATTTATTTCTTTGTAAATATAAGTGTATAGGTATTTGTATTTGTACTCACCAGTAGAGGTAGGGCTTCTCGCGCTCGATATTCACCGAATTAATAGGATCCAAACGAAACCACGTTGTAAATGTAAAGCCATTCTCGTATGGCCATTTCGCTAATGGCGGCAACACCATAGCCTACAATGGGAGAAAAGTAAAAAAAGAACAAAAGAGGAGGAAATCAATAAATGCTTGAGATTTGAAATGAGCGTGAGATTTATGAGCGCAACAATTAACTTCATTTAGATTTTCCTAGGTATTTTTTATTTTCAAACATCTATTGGCTTTCATTGTAAAATTTAAAGTAATTGCGGTAATTATTTTGAAAAGTAATGAAGCAAAAGTGGGCAGAGAAGGACTTGTTTCAGCTTTTGATTGATTACATTACTTTTGAGAGAAATATCTAATACTTTTCATGGCTTTTTTTTATTGAGATGTAGCCATTTATTTGTACACCAATCACAACTATAGGGTCGCCTGGCTGTGCTATTCATAAAAAAAAATGTTTCTAGCTGCCTTCCCTTTAGCAATAATCTCAGCTGTGAGGGCGCGTCCATCGTTTGAATAACTAAACGACTGACTGACTAGGTCCTTTGAACCGAGATCGGCGCTGGCTCCTTGCTTCATATTTCTGCCATTAATCTGCCACTAGTAGGCCTTCGTTTCATTCTTTTCTGGTCGTTTCATTCTTTTCAGTCTTAAATGAGCGAAATTTAGTCGGCTTCTAAGTTAACTTTGAATCCACTAGGTTGATTTCGTTTAATTTCACCTAGTATCGCCGCATTTATATTAGTTGGCGCCCTCTGCAGCCACAATATGAACAAAAATGTGTAGAAGTTGCAGATTAAAGATCATTTTAGAACTTTTTAATGGCATATTATTGTTGGTATATTCTTAAATATGTATGAACTGGTATAAAATTACAACGTTTATGATTTTTAGTTTAACTGTAATGTAATGTTGTTTATAAATGTTTACAAGGTTCCATAAAAACCCCAAAATATTTTCCAAGATTAGGTGTTTTCAATTCATGATTTTATTAAATTTTATAACCTAAACCCTTTTGTTACAAACCATAATTCATTAAGGGAATTTTTCAAAATGCTGCAGAACCATCTTATATTGCGCAAAAGTAGTCACAAAGAAAAAACGAGGAATTGTCCATAACATGGCATGAGGTTCTGCTTATTGCCTTTACGACATTCTCAGGTATAATCTAAAACAAACTCTTAGAAAAAATATTTCAAACAACAGGATTTACAAACCAAAATGTTAATGTTGCCTATAAGCAACATCGGTCCTGAAAGGGTTAAGCCATATAGAGGTGTTCCCTCTATATAGGGCTTTCCATAAGACTTATCTGACATTTTGCGGTAGTAAACAGCCTCTAGAATACTACGAACTCTCTGGTCTACAATAGTTATTCCAAATTAGTCCGAAGCACAGAGACTGGCGCGACGTTCATTCTGTGGATGCTAGCCAATACTTTCTTTAGAGTAGTGAATGTAAGACTTATCGGGCTGACATTCTTTCGCTTGCGTATGATTTAGGTTTTTCATCTTAGGCATGAATGTAACTCTCATCGCCCTGCAGGCTATCGGCACATACCCCTCTGTTTATCATTTCTATAAAATAACTACTTTTTTAATGAATACCAAGCTGTTGCAAGATGGCAGTCCCCATGCCTTCCGGCCCAGCTGCTTTGAACGGATCGAATTTCTACTTTCACCCTAACCACAATGTTAAAGACATCTTCGCTCAGCACATGTGGCGGATTCCATGCTTGGATAATTGCAATAAGGTTAGTGCCACCTATAAAATGTGCTACCAACAGAGGTCCCGGCGAGAGACTTTTCAAGAGCCATTTTCTCTCAATATACTATTTACACAGATCTGCATCACACTCAGAGCTCCGAAGTGTCATTTATAATTCTTAGTTCCTTCCAGGTATCTTTATTTGCAGCTCTAATACTACTTTCTTATGTATGTCCTAAAGCCGGTCCTATCTTTATTCCAATTCTGTTGTTGAACTTATATGACGACAATCTAAGTTACCCTAGTTCCACCAGATGTTAATCGAAGAACAAATTTAAGACTGAAAGAAATCTCTCATCTTTACTAAGCGCAAATCCATTCAAAAAGCTTAATTTTTTCCAATGAAATAAAACCATATTGTTGTTGACCCAAAAATCAGTAAATATTTTTAGTTAAAGAGTTCTGCAGATTTTTCTTATGTTTGGCTTCAATACCTGTTTTTAATGCTATAAAAACCCCGAGAGGATCTGACTTAGACATTTATTAGATTGTCCATTGTAAATTTCTTTGAACTAAAGGTAATCTGCGTTAAACTAAGAGCAAGTTTCGAAGGAAGTTCATGTCTACCCCGGAGAGTTCCTGGGTAGTGTTGATGAAATGTGCGCCGTGGTATTTAAACTTTGGTCTAACGAATACCGTCAACTGAGAAGGAAGTTCTGGGATGATTCCATCTCGTCCTCCAAATAGCTATTGTTCCGTTATGGTATTAAGTCGCACCGCGTAGGCTACTAAAGGACAATGTCCGGTATGGCAGAAGCTACCTTGACTTCCCGCAGTCAACAACTAGCTAGAAGGACCTTGCAACTTTGTATGTCGGGATTTTCCCCAACTCTCGTTGAACAGCTTTTAAGCCTATCTGTCCAGAAGCAGACCGAAAGTGACCGAAAGGAGCTCCTATGCCCTCCCTGTCAGAGAAGATGGTCTCAAGGGTTGCCTACCTAGCCAATACAGCACCACCCAAAATCAGCTTCATTTGGAAATATTGAGAGAGAGGTCCGGCCAGTTTCAATTACGGGCGGTGCTTTACTACCAGAATATCTATTCACCCTTCTAATCGGCAAAACACTGGTAAGTAGCTAATCAGCTGCCTCTTTTATAGTGGCCACCTCAACCTTAAAGAAGCTGCAAAAAGCCTGAACATCAGGTTTATTGACAGCTCACTGTTAATTTTATCAAACCTTATACTCGTAGATTGCATGTATAATTTTGAGTTGTGTTGCTAACGCAGAGGAAAATCGATATGTTCAGATTCGAAATCAATGACTACCAAATACCTTTAAATTTAAGTTAAAAGAAACTGTGAGCTAGTTAAAGCCAAAAAAACCATGCAATCTTTGTATGTATATGTAAGTAATTTTAAAGCAACCCCACCGCTCCCAGGCATAATAAATGAAATATGAATTCCGATTAA